GCTTTGCAGACCCATTTGCCTGGCAGTGTGGCCTGCCCGCATTCAGATGTTCTGGGGCCAGAGAGCACCTGGATTCACCCAGCTCTCAGGCTGGCAAGGGAGGCATGTGCTTTGGGTGCTGGAGTAGTTGCTGTGTCTTTGGTTGATTCCATTGGCTTTCCTACCTGCCAAGTCTCCTCGCCCCACCAAAGCTTCTTTGGCTGAATGGATATCTGATTTTGCTTGGGGCTGTCGTGTGTCCCCATTTAAGTAATGGATCATGAGTGACTGAGCCAGTTTTGGCAGTGTCCTGTTCTCCACTTCCCCAGCTCCCTTGTGGTGTTCTGGGATTACTTATCCTTGCATAATGAAAGGGTTGATAGAACTGGCTTTATCCTGCTGCCTTTCTTCCTGTTGGGATTGTGAGGGTGATGTCCAGAGGTATGAAAGGCCTCTGACACAGTGAGCGAAAGGTCAAGAGATGGAGATTCTGGCCCACAGAGCCATTGAGGCAGCACCTACTCCAGTCTTGTTATGGGAGACCAAGATGCCCTTGTTGTGTACGAGGAGCCCAGGCCTTCTAGGTTGGGTGTTCTGTTTCTTATTGAGAGTGCTTTACATTGGTGAGGTGCGCCTTCCTCAAGGCTGAGGAGGAGAGGTTTGGCTCAGTGTTCCCATCCCTGTACAAATGGTGATGGTCAAAGAACAGACCTGTTTCTCTGCATTAAGTCTTTTCTGGTGGCAAGCCACAGACAGAAGGCTCTTCAGACCCTTTTGTTCTAGAAATTTAGGAGTTGAGCAGGATTTTGGGCCCATTGTTCCTCCAAATCTAGTTCTCTCCTTATGCACAGCTTCTCTGTGGGTTGAAGTCTTTCCAGATGAGGGGGTGTCTGTACATAGCAGGTGGAACTTGGCCCAGGTTGCTTCAGGCTTACACAGTGAAGTTCCTACTTTGTACAATCAGTATCTGCAAACTTCTTCCCTCAGGGATCAGCTAGAACATGTTTGGGATTTTGTGTACAATGTCATCCACATCACAAGCACACAGCTTGGCCATTATTTCAGGAAAATGCCACAGATGCTAAGTGAGCCATTGGGTGTGACTGCAGAACATGTGGCAGGCCAGTATTTTGGCTGGGGCCATAGTTTGCAGACCTCAGTTCCAGCAAGAGAACTGGGCCCTCTTCCAGTGGTTCAAGTGGAAGTTGTGTGGAGGACTGTGGTCCAGGGCCAGGACTAGTGGGAGGCCAATGAGACTCTCTCTTTGGTCACCAAATTTAAGGATGGGGGTACCAAAAAACCTCAGAAATCAAGATAAATAATTTCACATAATATTAAAAAAGATAAAAATAAATGCAAAAAATCCACAGTGAACAAAATTTCAACTAGGGCCAGGAGGAGGATGTATCGTGGAGTTACCCAACCTGATAACTCCACCTGATGATCCTGGTGGAGAAAGTGTACAGGGTGGTGCTCAAGGAAGCGTCACAAGGACCAATAGAACATATCTTTTTCCTGTGGGAAAGAGGGTGCAGTTAGCAGAAGAAAGGGGAAGGGATGCTGTTTGGATACCTTTGTGCCTGAGCTTTCGCTTCAGTGTAATGTTAACTATTTTCATTGAATGATTTTATGCAAGTATTTTAATTTGCCTAACACTTATTGATTGCATTTATTGAACACACATTATGTGTATTCTTTTCTCATTTTCCCTTAGGACAAGCCTTACAGGTAAATACTGTTACCCCATTGTACAGATGAGAGAACTGAGTAATTTGCCCAAGGTCATGCAATGCCTTGACCAATGAGCCAAGGTCTCGTCTTCCTTGTATTCTCCAAAGCATGAATTCTTGGCCTTGTCCACAAGCTGAGATCTTTTGGAAACTTTGCCAGAAGCTGGTGCTATTAACAATTGCCCCAGGCAGCTCCCTGAACACCCCCTTCTTGGCCCTGGTTCTTGTTGGCAGTTGGCTTTCAGGTGTTCTGACAGCCAGAAGCCTGCACACTTTTGGAATTGATCCCACGTTTCAAAGCAGATCAGAATATATTCCCCAATTAAATTATGGGCACTGCCTGCTTTAAATGGCAGGTGAGCTGCACTTTAAATAGACCACATTAATTCTGGCGGCGGAAGTGGAACTCTGCTGGGATAATTCTTATCCTCAGCATCACTCTGACAGGCTCTAAAAGGATTCTGCGGCAGTAAGCAATTTGCAAAATTGAAAGGTGAAAACACACTCTGATGTGTTCATGTGCTTTCAAGGACAGGGAGGTGAATTCGTTTTTGAGTGCAGGTGAGAGTCACTTGATCTGAAATGTGATGGGAATGCAGGTGGCTGTCTGAATGTTTTGAAACACATTGGCTCCTGGCTTTGTCATTGCTGTGCCCACATTCCCTTGTCCTGGTTTCTGAGAGAGATGGAGAGTGAAAACAAAGCTATTTGGTACAGTTGTATGATCTGATGAGCTTGGGAAGGGGATTAGTGTGACATGTGAGGCATGAGATGGTTGGTCCTGTGTGAACCTGCCCTGTTGGTGGTTTTGTCAGTCATCCTGGGAAGTTCATTCTAAAAGATCCCAAAGGGTGGCTTGATTTACAAATACCTTTGGACACTTACCTGTACCTATATGCTTAGATGTGTTGACAGAGACAGGAAGAGGAAGCCACCCAGCTGCCCTCTGGTAAAAGGTGGTTGTAAGCACACACTTGGTCATCATGGACTAGACACTGTGCTCAGCACTGGACGTCCCTTTTGTCCAGTTACCCCAGTAGCCCTGGGTGATTCTCTACTTGGATTTATGAGACAGGAATCAAAGCTTAGCATAGTTGAGTGGCTTGCCTAGGGCCATTCAGTTAGGTGACTTCCTCACCTGTTTGTCCTGTCTGATGGACTGCAAGCACCTTAGGGTGAGTCCCGGTTGTCTCTACCCAGTAGCCCATGGCCTCGCCTAGTTCATGGAGCACAGCAAAAATGCAGTGGACCAGAGTTCAGTTGAAATGAAACTTTACAGTGAACTTATTAACCTGGCTTGCAGTTTCTGGAGCAGGTGTTTTGCATCCTTCTGGAAAGAAGGCTCAGAGACTGGCTTGCTCCTGGATTGGAAACTGAGTCTGGCAGTAGATACTGTGAATTAATATGCTCACTCTGAAGACACGGAGCCCCCTCATTTCTCCAGACAAAATGTGACTGATGTGCAGTAAACTCGGAGCTCCCATTCATCTGTGTTGCTTACTAATGTGAATCACTGGGTGTATTCTGCACCTAGCCTCCAACCTGCCCTGCTTTGATGTGAAGATGGCCTTGTTGGTTGTGAGGTCAGATGTAAAGTGTTTGATGCCATTGCCAATGCACAGTTAATGCTCATAAAGAGTAGCTGCTGTTGTTGCCTTATTATCAGCAGCCTGAGCCAACTGTAAGTGAAGAAAACTGATCACAAAGTGAGGTGTGCACTGGCATTATAGCTGTGAAAAGATCTGTGCATGTGGATAAGAAAGGTGGATTTGAGGAGATGCCAGTAGTTATAAGCAGGACTGTTTCATGGCTAAAAAACTTTCTAGCTGGGCGTTCGTGACTTGGGCCTGTAATCCTAGCTACTAGGTAGGCCCCAATAGGGAGAATCATGGTTGGAGTCCAGCCCTAGCAAAAAGTGAGTGAGACCTCATCTCAGCCAAAAAAAAAGGTGGGTGTGGGAAGCATAAAACAGGATCATCATAGTCCAGGCTAGCCTGGGCAAAAAGTGAGACCCCCATCTCCAAAATAAGCCAAGAGGGATGGAGGTGTGGCTCAAGTGGTAGAGCACCTTCTTTGCCAGTGAGAAGTCCAGTTCAAACTTCAGCCAACCCCCGCCCCCCAAAAACAACAACAACAACAGACTTTCTTAGCTTTCCCTTAAAGCTTTAAATCTGTTCCCATCTTCAGACCTAGTAATTCAGCATATTCTCCCAAGGAACTAAAAATGAGGACAATTATATACAAGATGTTCTTTGTTGTACAGAGGGAAAATTGGCTCTGTATCATAGCTTAGTAATAGAGAAACGCTAAATTATGTTTTCCCCCACTGGGAAGTCATCAAAACTATGTCCTGAAGGCTTTCAATTGTAATAGGAAAATGTTCATGAGCTAGACAAAAAGATGAACCAAGATACAAAATTATATTTAATACGTGCGCATATCATCACGCAGTGTGATGTGCTATTTTTTTTATAGCTGTGGTAACTAATTACTGCAAAGTTGGTGGCTCACTTTTGGTTTTTGAAATGGAATGCTGCTATGTTGCCCGGTTGGTTTTGAAATCCCAGGATCAAATGATCCTGCTTCAGCCTCCTGATTCACTGGGACTACAGTCACATGCCACCATGGCTGGCTTAAAGTTTGTGGCTTTTAAACAATGTACATTTACCGTTATGCTCAGAGAGAGTCCAAGGTCAGTTTCACTGGGATAATGTCAAGATGATAACAGAGTCAGATCCTGTGGGCACCTCTGCTGCTCTAGTCTCTGCTGGCTGCAGTCTTCGGCTGTAGCTACACCATTATCCTCTTTGCTTCTCTGCTCGCGTGACCTTTTCTGAGTCAAATCTCTGCTCTCTTTCTAAAGATGATGTGTTACTATATTGGCCCAGAGGGATGATCCACCATACTCCCCCATTTCCAGATCCCTAATTTTATCACAGTTGCAAAGACCCCTGGGCTGTGTAGGGTAACATTTACAGGTTCCATAGATTAACACAAGCATGTCTTTGAGGTCATAATTTAGCCTGCCACAAATGGTGATTTTGTGTAAAGAAGAAAGGTACAAGAAGAAAGACTCAAGGAAGTTCTTGAAAATGTTAATCAACAATTGTTGTCTCTGGATGGTGAGCTTTGGGATCATTTTCATTTGTGACTACTTCTCTGTGTCTCCCAGCTCCTCTGTGCTAAGGAAGTGTAACTCCTTTACAATCCCAGAAGTTGCCTAGGGACCATTGCTGTAAATACTGCAGTCCCTGCAGGCTGAGTGACCTGGCCACTGCCCTGTCTCTCCAGAGCCCGTGTTCTGGTTCTACGTGAAGGAAGTCCTCAACAAGCATGAGCTGCAGCGCTTCTACTCCCTGCGCCACATTGCCTCAGACGTGGGCCGGGGCCGGGCTTGGCTGCGCTGCGCCCTCAACGAGCACTCCCTGGAGCGCTACCTGCACATGCTCCTGGCAGACCGCGGCAGGCTCAGGTACCAGCGGGCTGGGCTGTGGGGACAGTGGAGCCGAGGGACCGGGTGGGAGAATCTGGTGTTAGTCCTCCTGAACTCACCCTCTGCCAGGGGCAGGTGAGTGACCTTCCTGCAGCCCCAGTCTGTTGAGGTGTACTGTGGGGACATTTGGTGGGAGAATAAATACGAGACACCTATAAGGGCCACCACAGAGATGGCACTCTACCAGTGCTCTTTGTCATTCAGGCTTGGGTACAGACGGACTGTTGTCTTAAGGATACACATTGCTCTTGACTTTGTGGAATTTTCATTTGGCATTCTTTCATTCACTCAATTCCCAAACTCACTGAAAACAATATGGAAGTTTTAAGTTAGGTGAAAAAAATCTTATTTTTATTAAAAACTTCATTTTGTGTTTTTCTTTTCCTGATTTACTAACATAAAGTTCACTCTCTCAGTCAGTATAGGTCAGGTTAGTTGCATTAACAAGTACCTCAGAAACCTCAGGGCTGTGCAACAACCATGGTTTCTTCCTCATGCCTCATCTGTCGGCACAGGCAGAGCTAACCACAGGGACCCAGGCCGACTCTGTGGAGACTCCGTGGAGCACGTGTAGGCCATGGTAGGAAAGGAAGTCGTTGGGAGCACTGGCTGGTAAAGCTTCTGCCTGTGGGGCCTTTGTGTCAGGCCAGGTTACATGGCCACACCCAAGCTCAGCAGGGCGGGAGGTAGGTTGATCCTCAGCACTGGGGGAGAATGAGTCAATGATGGGAAAGTCAACCATGGTTCTTAAAAGCATTTGAAAATGCTGTAGAACCTACTGGCTTCAAAGCTTAAGTCGCTCATAATTTACATGGAAATTATTCTAACTTGGTGTATTTTTTCATCATTTTTTTCTGTACTCATGATGCTGTGAGGCCTCTCTGCCCTGGCTGTTAGTTTTCCTCTGAGAATGGGGAACTAAACGTGTTTTATACCACCTGATGAGACAAGGACAGTAATGAATCTTGATCGGGTTCCTTGACTAGCTTCCATACCAGTGGTGTGCAGGTCCTCATGCTCCCCCCTGACATTTCTCTTTCTGCAGTAAGCTGGATCTCATTAGCACCACCATGCAGGCTCTTGATCTCATGTCTTGCCTAGTCTTCCCTGGCTACGGTCTCCCCTTTTTCTTCTGCTCTCCAGTCGCCTCTCTGCTAGCAACACCTTGCTCTTCAGAGCTCTCTGGAGTTCTCCCCTTGATGTTGCCTGTGATACCTTATCTAATGGGAGGGTTGAGGGATGGGACAGCTGGCACTGTGTGCTGCTCAGGGCCAGAATCGGGAGGCTGAGAATGTCTGCACCCCCTGAGCACTAACCTGCTTTCAGTTCAGGAAAATAGACATGTTTCTTTTTTTTCTTTCTTTTTTTTTTTTTTTTGTGGTACTGGGACTTAAACTCAGGGCCTTCACCTTGAGCCACTCCACCAGCCCTATTTTTGTGAAGGGTTTTTTGAGATAGGGTCTCACTTCCAACCCTGGTCTCCTGATTTCTGCCTTCTCAGTGGGTAGGATTACAGGCATGAGGCACTGGCACCTGGCTTCTTTTCTTTTCTTTTTTCTTTTTGGTGGTGCTACTGGGGTTTGAACTCAGGGCCTTATGCCATGCCTTTAACCCTCTTTTGCTGTAGGATCTTTTTTTTCCTTTTTGCCCTGGGCCAGCCTCAAACTGGGATCTTCCTACCTAAACCTTTCACACAGCTGGAATGACAGGTGTGAACCACCACACCCAGCTTATTGATTGAGATGGGATCTCAATAACTTGTTTTCCTCATTTTTATTATCATATACTAATTGTCCAGGGGGGAATATCACTAGTTTTTTGCCTGACCTGGCCTTGAACCTTGATCCTACTGATCTCTACCTCCTGAGTAGCTTGGATTATAGGTGTGAGCCACTACACCAGCTCTTATGTTTGCTTAGGTGAATTTTTGTGAAGCTCTTTCCAGCAGATTATTTGAGAATCGTTCAGAATTTCATACTCAGTACCAAGTTGAGTTTAACAAGGAAGTTGAAGTGAATCCATAGTTAAGAATCACAGTGGAACTCACCTAAATCACTAGCCACTTATTTAACTCAGTGTGGGGAAGCCAAATTCATTTATGTGAATGAGAGCTAGCTCTGTTTTCAAAGGATCACACTTTCAAGAATCAGGTAATGGCTGAAATGCCAGTCTGACCTTGTGGTCTATTCTCCCACTGGCAGTTTGCTGGGTAAGTGTATTGACAGTGATGTGTCTCTTCTCTTTCTGTTAGTTGTGTTCAATCATGTCAGCAGCTAATTTTTCCAATCTTACTGAACTGTAGGCCACTCAGCTCCAAATTGACTTTACTGAATCTGAGCTTTGACTCCGTTCATTTAGAATTCCGTGGGGATGTTGTATCATTGAGGAGATTTGGTTATTACTGCTTAACAGGGAATCCCTTAAACAGCTTGGAAATTGGACTTGGGAGACCTGCTTTTAAGCCCTTGGTCTTACCACTTACTGGCCAGATCACCTTGAATGTGTCCTGTTGGCTTCTCTGACCCCCTCCCCAGTTGCTGCTTAGATTCATGGGCCTTTTTAGCCTTCCTCCTCTTTCCTGGGATAACTTGTGCTTTTGGGTTTATAGCCCAGGCAGGTATTGTAAGTGATTTTCCTGGTTGATGGAGCCTCAGAGTTCTGTATTTTCTTTCTGAACTTGTACTAGCTAAATCAGGTGAGCCCTGTTGCTCAGTTGGGATTTCCTGTCTATCTCTTGGGAACTTTGCTTGAGTGAAGTCACTCATCTGTTCTCTTCTACTTTGCTGCTTTATAAATAACATTACATATGTCTGTTTCAGTCCTCTAAAGCCTAAGGTCTCTTGGGACCAACAAGGAAGTTGTCAGATGTGCGCATTTGGACCTTTGTTTATAATCAGTAAGTTTAAACCAGCACAGACCTCAGACATACCATATCCTCTCTGGGATGACTGGCTAGGCAAGAATTTTCCAGGGAGTCAGCTCATGGAATTGTCTGGCTAATGGACACAGAGGCCACTATTAAGAACGGATTCCTTTTCTCTTTCACTTTGCAGCACTTTTTATGAAGATTGGTCTTTTGTGATGGATGAAGAAAGATCTAGCATGCTTCCCACTATGGCAGCTGGTAAGCCTGGCCAGGCCAGGGATGACGGGTCCTGGGAAGCGTGGTGAGCAGAGAGGGCTGCCTGGGAGTGGACTGACAACCCCAAGGGATGCTGTGACTTTCCCTGTTGGTCACTCTTTTAATGAGTCACTCACTGCTGTCCTTCCTTGAAGTTGGGTCTGTTTATCTAGATTTGATACCCTGGCAGAGAAAACATGGAGTGGGAGGGTTTTGGCTGTGGCTTGGCAGGTGAAGTATAAAGAGCTGGGGAATTTGAGGTGGGAGCCCTATCTTGAATCCAGGCCCTGTCCCTTATTGTCTGAATCATGTTGTTCTGTTAGCCTTTGCTCTTATCCTCTGAGAGGTGGAAATCTTGGTAGCTCTCCAGTCGCTTTTTGTAAGGCTGTGAGAGAATCATAGGAGATAATAATAGATTTGTCAATGTGAAGGAAGGGCTTGGATCCATGCTATTTGGTGGATTGAGAAATCATTGGCTACTTGACTCTTAAAGGTGGAAGATGGAATCAACCAGGCAAAAGTGGGCAGCTGTGTCTTTCTTCCAAATTGTCTATTGCTTCCTTTTACAAGTTTTCTTCTAAGAGTTTATATAAGTCCCACATAGTGAGGGCTGTGTTAGCCTTGTCTCGTGATGAGAGGCAGTTACGGTTTGGCCATGGTTTACTCTGTAGGCCATAGGATACCAGTGTAAGTTTCTGCCTATCGTGATCATAGTGACGCTGTTGCTACACAGTTTTGGTTGCTTGTTGAGCTGTGTGGTTTTAGTGATTGTCTTTAGCATGTAGAATGCTGTGAGGGAGACAACACTGTCTCCATTTTATAGGTGAGGAAACAGAAGTACAGGGAAACGGTAAGGTACTTGACCAAAGTCTCAGCTAAGACGTGCATTTCTGGGGCTCAACCCTAGGAAGTCTGACTGCAGGACTTAGGTCTTCATCTGCTTCTGGGTGACTCGTGTTTCTGTTTGTCTTTCTGACCTTCAAGGAGGGAATCTGTAAAGACTCAGCTCCTATGACAGCTGGTGTGTGCAGACCCTAGTTTTGTGAAGATTTTGTAAATGTTTAAGATGAACATACATCCTCTCATGTGCTATGTTGTTTGTGCCTTTTTTGCCATGTTGGAGATGTGACGACTACCTGACAGCAGCACCCCAGACTTTCCCCTTTCTCGGACAGGTCTGAATTCCATACTCTTTGCAATCAACATTGACAACAAGGATTTAAACGGGCAAAGTAAGTTTGCTCCCACGGTCTCAGACCTCTTGAAGGAGTCCACGCAGAATGTGACGTCCTTGTTGAAGGAGTCCACGCAAGGCATGAGCAGCCTCCTCAGGGAGATCACAGCCTCTTCTGCCGTCTCCATCCTCATCAAACCCGAGCAGGAGAGTGACCCGCTGCCTGTCGTGTCCAGGAACGTCAGTGCTGGTGAGTGGGAGTGGGCACTTGGACTGGCACAGAGGGTCAGTTAAAAGGACAACAGAGTATGACTGGGGGAGGGGATACCCACTCACCAGCTGAAAGTCTTTCCAAGGGGAAGAAAATCTAATGGACTTGATTTCAGTTTGTGTTGGCTTTATCCTCATTCACCATAAAAGGACCCTGATAGCCGGACATATGTGAAGATAAGGGGATAGAAAAACATTCAGCTGAGTCAGAGCAAACTGAAAGTTGGGGTGTGATGGCCACAGGAAGCCAACTGTATCAGTTGTCAGTCATTTATTCCTTCCTCTACTCATTCATTATTTATTGTGTTCTGTGTGCTAGGCAATGAGCTAAGTAAGACAGATTGCAAGCCTTTAGATCACAGTCTCCTTTGGGGTGGGCGAGGGGGGAAAGTTAAAGAGAACAAGTTATACAAGTAACTTGTTACTCTTCTGACACGGGGACAGACAAAAGCCAAACATGGGAGGCTGTGAAGAGTGAGTACATTTTGGTGTGCCTTTTTGGGAGGATGACAGTTAAGTAGAGGCCTGAGGGAAAAGAGCAGTTTGTTACCTTTGACTCCAGGCTGTGGGGAGGCAAAAGAAAGCTGGTTCAGTAAGGATTAATTTTGCAAGTAGTTCCTAGCACACGTTAAGCATGTGGAGTCTAAGGGTTGCCACAGTAGAATTGGAAATTTTGGACTTCTATATCAGTCCTGTTTTCCCACATCCCGTAAGGCAGTGATCACGGCCGTCCTCTGGGGGATCCTGAGAATGGTGAGAATGCGGAGTTCTGTGGCTTCTTTGGTGCTCAGAGACTTAGCTGTTCTATAGTCTCTTTCTGGAACAGAGATCCCACATGAATGACTTGGGAAACAGGACCACAGAGGGCTTTGTGTGACAACGATCCTGAAATTTGTTTTCCCAATTGGTACAGTTCCATATTGTTGGACTGCTTTTGAAATGACCTCAGAATTGTGCTGCACTGGTGAGGCATCCCCACATCGCCCCTCCTTTATGTGGACTGATATGAAGTGCTCACAGCCAAACTTGATGTAAGCTGGGTGAGCAAATGGGCTTGTCTTAGCTCTGATCCTCAAGGCAGTCTTGCCTGTGTTTCACTGAGCCTTTGCTGTGTAACACATGACAACAAAAGGGAGTGGCTTAAATGGCCGCATTTTACTATTTTGTATGATTCTGTGGATTGGCGTGGTCGAACCTCTGCTGGTTCACTGAGGCTGTCTTGGGCTGAGTTGGAAAGACACAGATGGCCCTACTGTCATGTCTGTAATTGTGCTGGGACGTTAGTTCTGTACATGGCTCTCATCCGGTGGGCCGCACTGGCTTCCTTAGGTAGTGATGTCAGGGCAGCCATCCAAGGAGGTGAAGGCAGAGCCATGAGACCTACTGACATCTGGGCTCTAGGACTCTGCCATTTCTGTTGCCTTCTGTGGGTAAAAGCAGAGAACTGTGCCAGCCCAGATTCAAGGAGTACAGAAACGATGTCCTCCACGTGGAGGAGCTGTACTGTCCACTGAGAGGGACATTGGCGGGGATGGAAGGATTCTTGGCTGTGACCCCAGTACAACCTCAAACTCGTGTTCTCGGCCTCATCTTCCAGCCATGAGTTCATTTTCCACAATGCAAAAACGAAAATCGTGTTAGGAATGATAGCATCCTTTGAATCAAAGTGGCTACTGGAGAGGACAGTTTCAATATATGCCTGTGGCAGGTTTATTTAAATCAGAGGAGAGGCCCACATCAGTTTTGCCCAGTCTTCTGTGGACAGATGTTTTTAAAGGATTAAAATTGTTTACTTCTCACTAGAAAAGTAGAGCATTTTCCTGACCTACAAGTCAGTTGGCTTGGTCATCCTTTTGTCTTGCCTACTTTTTCTTACACCATATCTTTTCTTCTGCCAGATGCTAAATGTAAAAAGGAGCGGAAGAAGAAAAAGAAGGTGACCAACATTATCTCATTTGATGACGAGGAAGATGAGCCGAACTGTGGGGAGGTTTTGAAAAAGATACCTGGGGCAGGGGAGAGCTCGGAGGAGAACTCTGACCGCTCCTCAGTCAATGTTATATCTGCCTTTGAAAGCCCCTTTGGGCCAAATTCCAATGGGAGTCAGAGCAGCAACTCATGGAAAATTGATTCTCTGTCTTTGAATGGAGAGTTTGGGTACCAAAAGCTGGATGTGAAAAGCATTGACGATGAAGACGTGGATGAAAACGAGTATGATGTGTATGGGAACCCATCAGGAAGGAAGCACATGAGCCATTCAGGGTCACCAGAGAAGTAAGTTTCACTTGAGCTTCTAACAGAGGGAGTTATGCTAGCCACTTTTCTCTTATGCTGCAGTGGCAAAGGAAGAGTGAGTTTGTATTTGGTAGGGCACTATTCATGTTTCAGGTCTTCATTCATGAAGAGGGGAAGGGAGACTTATGTGAGGGTACTTAGTACCCAGTAGCTTCCAGGTGTGTGCCTCGAAATTTGTGCTTTGCACGTACAGCTTTCATATTCAGACTGGGCTTTCTTCACATCTAATTTGACATTAGCCTAGGAAACTCCAAAGGAATCAGGGACTAGAGAAGAGTCATGTGCTAGTAACTTCTGTGTCAGTCTTATTGTCATGTAAGCCATTTGCCTCTTCACTTAGTGCACAGTGCCTTGCTAGTCATGGCTCTGAGCAGCAGGAACTCCGGAGCTGCTGTAGCTATAAACTTGTGGAGAGGGCTTGATGCAAGGGACAATCCAGAGCAGAAAAGCATGGTTTTTAGGATTAAGACAACCTGTATGTTCATTTACTTGCAATGTGGCTTCCTTTGGACTGGTGGGACGAGGTTCTTCACCTCCCGTAGCTCTTGCCAGGGATATTGTGGAGATACTCAAAGGCTTGTGGGGCCTTTGTCACAGATCCTGGCATATGGAGTGACATGGCGCTGACCAGCTGCCACTGCTTCTATTCAGCTCTTACGGAAGCTCTTTTTCTCAGTCTTACTCTTCTTTTGTTGTTGTTGTTGGTGGCAGTATGGAGGTTGAACTCAGGGCTTTGGGCTTACTAGGCAGGTGCTCTACCATTTGAGCCACACCTCCAGTCCTATCTGCTTTTGTTATTTTTCTTTTTCTTTCCCCTTCCACCCCACCCCAGGGCTTTGTGCTTGCAAAGCAGGTATTCTACTGCTTGAGCCACATCTCCAATCCATTTTTGCTCTGGTTATTTTGGAAATGGAGTCTCATGAACTGTTTGCCTGGGCTGGCCTTGAACCATGATCTTCCCATCTGAGCCTCCCAAGTAGCTAGGATTACAGGTGTGAGGCACTAGTGCCCAGCTTTATGTGTGTTATTTTTTGAATAAGGTCTCAATTTTTATGCCCAAGCCAGCATGGAGCTTGAATCACAATACTCCTTATCTCCACCTCTCAAGTAGCTAGGATTGTAGGCTTGAGCCATTGCATCCAGCCTTAGTCTTATTCTTATTGTCATGAAAGCCACTCACCTTTACACTTAGTGCACAGTGCCCTGCTAATCATGGCTGACTTTACAGTCAGACCTGTAGAAATGTAAAATGAATATGCGTCAAGGCATCTTTCTGTTTGACTGAAAGGTGGTGTTATTAAGGGACTCTGTGTGCTTCTAGCTCCAAGCTTCTGATTTGTATGTTGTTTTCATATTACTTTTTTCTTTCTTATGAAACTGCCTGTTTTTGTTTTTATTTTTGTGCCCGTCCTCATTCACACAGATAGCAGTATCTTACTTATCATCTGTGATGTGCCAGGTGTGGCAAGGTACTGTAGGTACTTTAGTGTCACAATTGCAGCCACCCTGTGAGGTTCATGGGTAGGTCCCCCTACCCCTTCTGTTACAGATGAGAGAGCAGGATTCCCATAGAGTTGAAATTTGTCAAAGCAATTGGCCAGGCTGGGAGTTAGGCTCAGAAATGCTGTACTGTAGAATTTGTACTGTCAGCTATCTTCCATGTTTCTACATGCTTTATCAATTAGCTGCTGCCATGGTTGCTGTGGTGGTCAACCTGTCTGGCCATGGAGTGCCAAGGTTTAAGCCATTATTTTTGGAGTCTGAGAGGATGTTCTGGTTGAGATTAGTGTTTGAATCGGTATTCAGTAAAAAAGATCGCCCTCCCCAGTATGAACAGGCATCCCAGTCCCTTGAGGGTCTCAATAGAAGAAAACCCAAGGAAGGGAGGAATTGTTTCCTTTCTCTGCCAGTCTGACCAGGGACACTGGTCTTCAGCCAGTGTACTTGAACTTCTACCCTTGATCCCTTGGTTCTCAGGTTTTAGATCTGAACTGAATTACACTGCCATCTTTTCTGGGTCTCCAGTTTGTAGACTGCAGATGATGGGGCTTCTTGGTTTCCATAATTGCAGAAACCAGTTCCTCATCGTAAATCTGTTTTTCTCTACCCATATCTCCATGGGTTCCGTTACTCTGCAGAACTCCGACTAACATAGTTGTTACTCACCACTACAGCGTGTCATGACTTGCTAACATGTCCCCCCACCCCTCTGGAGTTGAATATTTAGATTGGCAGCTTTTTTGTTTGTTTTTGAGACAGTTGTCTTCATTTGTAGCCCAGGCTGGCCTGAAAACAGCTATGTGTGTAAACGGTGCTGGCCTTGAACTTGGGAATCTTCCTGCCTTGGTCTCCTGAGTTCTGGGATTACACGTGTGCCCCACCATTCCTGGCCAGTTGTTGACATTTTTGTTTGGTTTTACTTTTTGTATTAACCATTTTTGAAATAACCATCTTCATGCATAAGGCTGTTTTTAGCTCCACTAGGATAGCTTCTCAGCAGCATTGTTGTTCGTAGGCTATGAATATTTTTGTGCCTGGAAGCTAAGTCTGGTGACCTGCCGAGTCATGGTTCTCCGGAGAAACAACCAGTGGTATGTGTGTGTGTGTTCCCTCCTCTCTTGATTTCACTCTCTGTCACTCTGCCTCTATCCCTGACTGTCTAGCTCTGTTTCTGTCTCTGTCTCTCTCTTTCATTTCATATATTCTAAGAATTTGGCACACATGATTGTGGAGGCTGGCAAGTCTAAAATCTGCAGGGTAGGCTGGAGACTCAGGGAAGAGTTGCAGTTCAAGTCCACAGGCCATCTGTTGGCAACATTCTTTTTTCTTCTGAAGAAGAGACAGTCTTTTTTCCTGTTGAAGCCTTCTTCCAGTTGGATGAGGCCCACATAATTATGCAGGCTAATCTGTTTCACTCAAAGTCTGATGATTTACCTGTTAATGTCACCTAAAAAATGCCCTCACAAAACATCTAAGCTGTATCTGGATAATGTGGTCTACCATTTTCCTGGGCCTTTTAGGTCATGCTTCTTACATTCTGTGGCTGCGATGGGTACGTCTGACTTGGTTCATACATGTGTTCTGTGATTTCAGACATAGTCTCTGCTCTCCTTTCCTTTGGTGCTATTGAGAGGGGCCTGGAAGGGGAGGACAGCTTGTGAGCCAAGGTGGCTGCTGGCATTGTGATGTGTAGAGGGCACAAAGCAGTGCAGGGTGACCTCCAGGAGGCCTGGGCCTCACATGCACTGTGGACAGCCTCTCCCTGGCATTACGGGGGATTTTGCGTGAACATCTGCAGAGCAGCCTGGGAAGGAGCAGAGAAGTGATGAGGTGGCTACTGAGTGATGCTTTGATTCTCGTTTTAAGCTAATGTTCCCAGAAAAGGTCTAGAGGCTGGCACACAGCAGTTGTGCAGGGGAGTGTGGCCTTGCCACAGGCAGCTAGCTCTGCGTAGATTGCCAAAGCTTCTGGCAAAGTCAGCTGCTTGCTTGTCTTTGGATGTCTATTGGCCAGAAGTTAGGCTTTCTCTGTTTACTGTTAATTAAACCACTTCTTTGATCCCTGAAGGAAACATTTATCCCTCCTGTCTCTTTTTTAACCACAAATGTTAGCTTTGCTTTTTTGCTTTTTCTTCAAAAAAAGTAATAGCTTTGCTATTTTTTATTTATTACCATAAAGTGGTACAGAAATACCACTTTGTATGTGCTCTGTGACACCAGTAAGGAGGCAGAGGGAAAGCAACTGGAAAAGAAGTATATACGTGAGTGAATGTTGTGTCCCACTGTTGATAAGTGAATGCAAAGGAAATCAGGTGACATAGCTTGGTCAGCACACTGGCCAAGACTTGAGGTGAGGACAGGACTAATGGAACCCCAGCTTAGCACCCGGTGTGAGGGGCAGGTGGCTCTGCTGGGTCTCTGTTCCAGGCATGAAGGGGGTGTAGGGTCATACCTGCATAGTAAGGGAGCTGGCCAGGCTGCTGCACAGGACTGTTGGTAGCTCTGAGGGAAAATAGTGAGAAAAAGAGTCAGAAGCCTTTAAATTGCCTTCCCACTTGATCTAGCAACCTCACAGCAGAAACTGTGCCCTGAGGACATGCTCTCAACCCAGAGAAAAGGTTACTACAGGTAGGTATCAAAGTCCTTACAGAAGCAGAGCGCCAGAGTTGACCTAAATGTGCAGCCACTGAGGCAGTTACCATCAGGGCGTCATAGTTAAGCTTTAACATCACAGTGTTGGTTTTTTTTTTTTTTTGTGGCGCTGGGGATGGAACTAAGCCTCATACTCATTTTTTTTTTCATTTTTCTTTTATTATTCATATGTGCATACAAGGCTTGGTTCATTTCTCCCCCCTGCCCCCACCCCCTCCCTTACCACCCACTCCACCCCCTCCCGCTCCCCCCTCAATACCCAGCAGAAACTATTTTGCCCTTATCTCTAATTTTGTTGTAGAGAGAGTATAAGCAATAATAGGAAGGAACAAGGGGTTTTGCTGGTTGAGATAAGGATAGCTATACAGGGCATTGACTCACATTGATTTCCTGTGCGTGGGTGTTACCTTCTAGGTTAATTCTTTTTGATCTAACCTTTTCTCTAGTTCCTGGTCCCCTTTTCCTATTGGCCTCAGTTGCTTTAAGGTATCTGCTTTAGTTTCTCTGCATTAAGGGCAACAAATGCTAGCTAGTTTTTAGGTGTCTTACCTATCCTCACCCTCCCTTGTGTGCTCTCGCTTTTATCATGTGCTCATAGTCCAATCCCCTTGTTGTGTTTGCCCTTGATCTAATGTCCACATATGAGGGAGAACATACGATTTTTGGTCTTTTGGCCAGGCTAACCTCACTCAGAATGATGTTCTCCAATTCCATCCATTTACCAGCGAATGATAACATTTCGTTCTTCTTCATGGCTGCATAAAATTCCATTGTGTATAGATACCACATTTTCTTAATCCATTCGTCAGTGCTGGGACATCTTGGCTGTTTCCATAACTTGGCTATTGTGAATAGTGCCGCATTAAACATGGATGTGCAGGTGCCTCTGGAGTAACAGTCTTTTGGGTATATCCCCAAGAGTGGTATTGCTGGATCAAATGGTAGATCGATGTCCATCTTTTTAAGTAGCCTCCAAATTTTTTTCCAGAGTGGTTGTACTAGTCTACATTCCCACCAACAGTGTAAGAGGGTTCCTTTTTCCCCGCATCCTCGCCAACACCTGTTGTTGGTGGTGTTGCTGATGATGGCTATTCTGACAGGGGTGAGGTGGAATCTTAGTGTGGTTTTAATTTGCATTTCCTTTATTGCTAGAGATGGTGAGCATTTTTTCATGTGTTTTCTGGCCATTTGAATTTCTTCTTTTGAGAAAGTTCTGTTTAGTTCACATGCCCATTTCTTTATTGGTTCATTAGTTTTGGGAGAATTTAGTTTTTTAAGTTCCCTGTATATTCTGGTTATCAGTCCTTTGTCTGATGTATAATTTAAGCCTCATACTCATGAAGCAAGTGTTCTCCCACTGACTCTACTTCCAGCTCTGAACACCTCAAGTGATTTTTTTTGGCATTGCTGGGGTTTGAACTCAGGGCCTTACACTGGCTAGGCAGCTGCTCTACCACTTGAGCCACTCTACCAGCCCTTTTTTGTGAAGGGTCTTGCAAACTATTTGCCTGGATTGGCTTGAATCACTATCCTCCTGATCTCTGCCTCCTGAGTATCTAGGATTGGATTACAGGCGGTGAGCCACCAGCACCTGGCCCATTGTTTTTAAGCCAAAAATGTAGGTACCATATTCTGTGGCCATTTCTGCCTTAGGAATCACTTCAACTCATTGGGAGGCAGTAGCCCTTGTAGGCCATTTTTGCTTGGATTTGAAACATCACGGGGTGGGAGTTTGGCTTTGCCTTGCACGTACGTGTTGCTGGGAAGTGATAAGAATTGTCTTAGAAACAAGCAGACAGTTCCACCTGCCTGGAGCTGGTGGGATGACTGGAGAAAGGACCAGCCACTATTACTGCCTTCTCCTAGGATGGCCATGATCGCCACTATGGTCAATCCCCTTGGTCACCAGCTGCTAGGTCAGACACTCAGGGGGTGGTTTTAACGTTCCAGAGGCACAGTCAAGTTCACCTTAAGACTTGGCCCAAACTGGGCCAGGACATAGGTGGGGCAGCTCCTCTTTTGCTCCCACCCTGCTTCCAAGAGTCTCATCGTGTTACCTGTGGGATAAAAAGACACATTTTAAAAAATTCTGTTAGGATTATGCCCTGTAAACTTCCTTCTCAGTGCTGAATGTCTGACCTGACCAGAAGCCAGAGATGCCCAAGAGCAGCAGGATGAGCCATCAAGAGAAGTTGGCAGGCACATGGTGCACACGGGCAGACCAAACCCATTTTTAAAGGATTGCAAAGAAACACTAGTACAGAAGGGAATGCCACAAAGCCTTCAGTGTTTACCAGCTGGCCCTTTATAGAAAAGGTTTATTGGTCTCTGCTCTAAAATAAGACAAACTGCATGTACTGTCACATGGAGGGCACAGTAATGGATTTGGAAGACCTCAGCTTGGGTTCATTGATGGGGCTGATGACCTCAGGACAGGTCATATAATTTGAGTATCTTTTCCCCTGTCCCTTCCTCCTTTCCCTCCCCTTCACACTTTCCTTCCTTTCCTAAGTTGGTATTGTTACGCTCTTCTTTATCCACTGAGTTACAAAGTGACTTTATAAACTTCAAGAACTTCAAGAAAAGCTGGTGCACACCTGTATTCCCAGCACTTGGGAGGCTGAGGCAGGAGTCTCATGCATCCAATGCCAAATTGCACTATAACTTGGAAAAAAACCCAAAAAATCCAAAAACCAAAACCCTGTAAATACATCCTGACACTTATTCGTGTTTTCTGATTGCCCAGAGGCAAAAGCAGTGGGTGAGCACCCTCAAGCTGAGCTGAGCTAGCTCAGTGTCACAAAGCTTGTACTTGGTAGTTTTGATCTTTGTAGATAAGATGACAGTGTCACAGGTCATATCAGCCTGGCTAATATTTGAGCTGGCCTCCTTTCTTAGAAGGGACCTAGACATGACCTGAACCAATTTTTTTTTTTTTTTGGTCCCTTTACCCACAAAAGCCTGAGAACCAGTGAAGCGACACCAGCCTAGAGTCATGTGACTGACCTTGATTGAGAGCCCAGAGTGCTGTGCTGTGCTTTCTCCTGCTTCAGTCTTTTGCATATGTTGTTCCCTCCCTCCCAGCCCTCTTGTCCCTTCACTCAGGCCCTTGTGCTTCCATCATCTTGCCCCTCAAACTCCTTCTTCAAGACTGTCTCCTTGACCTTCCTGACCTGCTCCACACCGCTGAGCTGTATTTGACACCTTGCAGGATATTTGATTAATGTCTCTGTCCCCCACCAGACCGTGAGCTCCACAAAGATAAACATTTGTGATATGGTGCATGGCTTCAGTAGGTGCCCAGTAAGCCCTCAGGGCACCTGTACCCTGTCACACAGCTCTGTTCTTTCACCTTAGGCCGCTGGATGGGAACACCTGCCTCTCCCAGGGGCACGGCTGGGCTCCGCTGCAGGTGCTGCATGGCGATGCTGACATCCTCTTCCCTGTCAGTGGAGTGGGCTCCTATGGCCCAGCAGGTGGGTGTGGCCTGATTTCTCCCTTCCTCTGAGAACCAGCAGGGGTTAGCTGAGTTACCTGCATAGCTAGGAACAGAAGCCTGGAGGCCTGGGCTTAGGGCAGTATTGGCTTTGGGACTTATAAATGAGGGGGGTCTTGGGGGCTCCTATTTAACTGGAGAATTTAGAGGTGCTCTTGGCCAGGTGAGTTGGGTTGAACTGGTTGGCAAGTTCTCAGGGACCCCTGGGCCTGGTTCTTTATCAGTGGCTTGTTGAACTTGGTCATGTCAAAGTTGTCCACCTGTAGTGGCCATTGTCTTGCTTTTTAGAAGAGAGAAGGTAGTTGAGCTCTGTCTACAATACTCCAGCACCTAGTCAGAAGAGTCCTGGGATCAGGGAGTCACTTGGTCTCAGGTATGAGCTGGCCTTGGTTACTGGGCAGTATTTTTGCCTCTCCCCACAGAGTGGGTCTCTTGTTCCTCACTGTCTTCTTTAGTGAGAACAGGTCATGGGGAACATGTGGATGAATTTGGTTTGTTCTCTGGGGTAGGTGTTCCATAATGCAGCACAATACCTGGCACAGAGATGTGCACATTTGGCATCACAGACGCCTAACCCCCTGCACCACTGGACCCAAGGGGCCTTGGCACAACTTGACTTTTCATTTTCCTAGGAAATAAGCACTTATTCTTTGGGCCTTGATTTAGGAAATTTCAACCAGGGCCCATGACCTGCTCAGGAAGCTGTTGAGATTTGAACTGGATGATGAACTGTTCTTGTCACTTGGTAACAGAACCCACACTCATGAGCTGGAGCTCAGAGATGGGTAGGGCTGCCCATGGGTGTACAGTACAGTCAGACTCAGTCCAGCTCTGGCAGTTGGTGACATCGAGGAGACTCAGGATGTGGAGAGGGGCTTTAGTCTGCGTTGCCCCCTCTTCATCCTCACTCTTCCCTTTTCCTCTGCAGTTGTTAGAGGGCCAGCAGCTGTATCTTAGTCATGTGACCTTCAGTACCAACTAGGAGCCTCACTGAGCCTTGGTTGAGTGCCAGGGAGGGACAGCTGGTCAACCTTGTTGTGCCAGCAGGCCAGTCTGCAGAATTCCTACACCTTCAGACTGTTGTTGGTCCAGATGGCCTAGAGTGTGGGCATGGTCACCTTGCTGTCCCCTGTGCAGTGACAGCATGTAGGTAGAATGTCTGAGAACGGGTGGCGGCTAGGGGAGAGCAGAGGTCAAAGAGTGTCTTGGGCCCCTGGAAAGTTTTGAATGTTTACTTTATGACCTCCAATTTAGGACTCAGTACCTGCTCACCTGTTCCCCAGCAGGGGGACAACTGCTGGGGTGGAAGGCACATGCAATAGACTGCTTTGTTCCGTGTCGCTTCATATATATATATATATATATATATATATATATATATTTTTTTTTTTTTTTTTTGGCCTCATGCTTGCTAGGCATAGGCAGTTGCTCTACAACTTGAACCACTCTGCTGCCTTCCTAAGCCACCAGACCTTTGGGCCTGAAGGCTGGCTACTCCTGTGCCATTCACATTGAGATTTGGTCATCTAGAGCCTGGTGGTCTTGAGCTTTCTAGACAAGTGTCTCCAGGACAGTAGCTCGTGGCTGGCCTCCGGGATCCTGTGAGAACTTGGCCCCTTCCACTTGGCTGTCCTGTGAGTCTCTATCTCCCCAGTTGCCAGCCTTGTAGACACAGAGGCTCCATCTTGTCATTGTTGATGGGACCTGAGTTCCAGTTTGTGTTGAGAATGCTTAGCAGGGATGATATATGTGAGCCAACCCGCCAACTTTTAAATGTACAAAGTTTCCAGGAGCCTTGCTTGTGATGGCCTGAGGGCCAGGGCACAGGGAAGGGCCCAGAGGGCCCTTTACTCCAGGGCCTCACTGAGCTTGGGATCAGACCCTGGGGAATTGGTGAGCTGATTGGAATGCTCTAAGTACACCGAGTCTCTCCTGGCTTGGAGCCCCGTTCCTCAGTCTTCCTGCCAGGGCAGCCCTCCCTCACTGGCTGGGTCCTGCTACCGTTTTCTACCCGAGATGCCTTTCCTTTCACTCCATTTCTGACTAATGTCCTTGTGGCCACCGTTGTAGACTCCTACTTCAGCATCTCACCACGTTCTCCCTCATTCAGGCCCAGGAGCTGTTTTGTCCTTCAGTGTGACCTCCACACAGAGTACTCCTCCCCTTAGGAGATTTTTCAGTCATCTTTGAAGATGTAAGTGCTCTTACAGTTGCTGCCACCAGGGGTCGCTAGAGAAAGCGGTGATAGAGAAGAAGAGAAGCCACTGGCTGGGGACATGGGTGCTCTTTGCAGCTAAGTCTTGAGGGAGAGAGAGGGCTGAAGGAAACCTAAAGACTTGGCATCGTTGTGAACCTTGGGAAAGGCAGCTCTGGGGCATATGGGAGTTATGAGTCCTGGGTTAGAGAGTGATTGAGAGAAGGGAGACCCAGCTCAGGGTCACCTGAGAGAGACCCTGTACGAGCAGATGAAGGATTGAACCCAGAGATCAGTCCCTCTGGATGTGCTGGGATCTACAACAGACTGAAGTGAATTCACCAACACTTCTGAAGGGGCAGGGGAGGAGGAACTCCTAACCTTTCTTACCCCGGCAGAAATAATAAGCAGAGGCAAGGGGAGCACCCATCACTTGTGACATGAAGCAGTTGTGGCTGGGCGTTCCATCCAGCAGATGCCAGGTTCTGATGGTGTTCCTGGATTTACTTGCAGCCCTGGTCTGAAGCTCTTCATTTCTGTGCTCACTCTGGATCTTGAAGTTGCTTGCTGAGGTGGAGGAGGGGCTCACATGTGCCGCTGAGATTCCATGTGGCTGACGTCAGAGCTAGGTCTGGAGGGCAGTTTAATTCTTGGGAACATCAAGACATCATGGTGGCTGTGAGGACACTGTGTTGTGTGGGTCTTACCCCTCACATGTGTTGCATGTGACCTGTGGCTTCCTGGTTTTCTTCATTCGGTTATCCTGTTTTCCTACTGTGGGCCAGGCATGGCGGTGGGCTGTAGGGGTCTGGAGGTGGATTCCACCTGGAGTTTTACATGTAGGGAGGAGACAGGGATGTCTTGTTAATAACTGATGTAAAGGAGAAAGCAGTGAGTGGTCCCAGTGTCCTCTGAACGCTTTTATTACCTGTTCTACCTTTCATCTCTGAGCTATTGCAAAACAGCTTCTCAACAGCCCTGTCAGCTTCTACTCTTGTCTCTTATGTTGTCCAGTCTTATCAGCCAATGTGACTTTTTAGGACATAAACCAAATTGCATTATTGCCTTGCTTCAGGCCCTTCCACTGCACTTAGGCTAAAATCTAGATTCTTCACTATGGTCATCTATGTCCATAGATGTCACTGGCATCTTCCTTTCTTCCTGTTTCTTTTGCCTGGTGCCCTGACTACCCCAGCCTGCTTCTATTTCCCTAAGTGGAGCCACTGTCCCTCCTTCCTCTCTGCCTGCTCTTCCTTTCTTCTCACTCTGGTGCACCCTTCAGGCTGCTCTTCCGTGGCACTTCTTCATGAAGGCTGCTCTGGCCGTCCTCACGTGGCCGGGCCTTGTGTTCTCAGCCATAGCAAATCTCTTGTGTTCTCTAACTCTAACCTCCGTTTGCATTATGTATTAATTACTTGATGATGCCTGCTACTCCTCCTAGTCTTTGAGATCCATGAGGGCAGGACCATGTCTTCCCTGACATGGGCCCACAGCTAGGGCTCAGCAAACCTTTGCGGAGGGGGTGGTGGATGGTTACAGGGGTGGGTAGCTGCTGAAATACGCTGCAGGGAGAGGACGGATGTATTGGAAGAAGTGGTACGTGCATAGAGGTCACAGTGTGGACAGAGGTATTGGTAGCAGTGTTGGAAGGTTAGAGGGACAAGCATGTGGTTCAGGGAAGCTGGTAGAGAACCTGCACAGTGGGAAGGGCTTGTCTGGTCAGATGGGGGTTGAGCCTTGCACTTGTTAACTCTGTCACTTAATAAGTCACTTAAGCCCTCAGGATCTGCTTGCTCATCTGTAAAGTTAGGATAGCAGTAGTCCCTGTGTCAGAGAGGGCCTTGGGATGAGTGACACAGTCTGCCTTGTGTGCCAGTGTGTCAGTGTGCACCTGCCGTGTTTATAAAGGGCTGATGGGAATCTTGTGAACTCTGCATTGCAGGTGCGTGACATTGACCCCTACTGCAGTCGTGGGTTTCATACCACTATGTGTTTTGGAGGCCTGGGCTTCACTTCAGGGTGTCAGATCTGTGACCCAGTTAGGTTAGGAAGGATGACAGAACTGAGGTGACCTGCTACAGAAGGTTCCTTAGGAGCTATTGAGCCTTTGAACTGCAGTGCAGTAGAAACACCTTGTGAGCAGAGTAGGATAATTTAGGTGGCACTGAGAGGATGTGGATATTGTGTTAGCTTTCTGTCACCATAACAAAATACTGATAGAATCAGTTTATAAGGAGAAAGGCTTATTTTGGCTCAGGGTCTCAGATTTCATTCCATGGGCATTTGGCTCCATTGCCTTTGGGTGTGTGGTGAGGCAAAACATCAGGGTGAGGTGTATGGCAGAGGAAGCCGCTCATCTCATGGTGGCCAGGAAGCGAAGAGAGACAGGAAGGGCCTAGGTCCCAATATCCCTTTCCAGGGCCTTCCCCAGTGACCCACCTTCCTCCCACTAGGCCCCACCTCTTAAAGGTTCTGCCACATCCCAATTTCAGTTGATAGGGAGGGTGAGGACCCGAGACAGCCAGACTCACTGTGGAGTGAGTTGATGCTAGCTGACATACTTTGAGCATCTTTGGTGAGTGTAAAAGTTAGTTATATGGCCGGCATTATTAAAATGTTGTACAGTAGACACTGCTGCCAGCTCATTTCACAGCTGAGGCATGGAGAGGCTAGATAGCTTGCCGAGTTGAAGTTAGGGTTAGGGACCTGAGCCACAGCAGTAGGGCAAGGCCTGCACCCTTAAACCAACTTCTATACAAGGCAGTAAAGATGAGGAGAAGTAGACAGAATTTCATGAAAGTGTTGGGGGTGAGTGGAACGTAAGGTAGTAAGAGCTTGAAATCATTCTTTCTGTCCCTGAAGGCCGCTGTAGGTTCAGCACTGGGTGGTGCTGTGAGTGAAGTAGGCAGAGACAGAAGCAGTGGTTCAGAGGGAGCCATATGTCCCCTGTCCCTGACACAGGGCTTCCCTGCGGGCCTTGACAATGAGCAAGGGTTCCCTTGGGTGAGAGCGGTTTTCATGTTTGTGCTTTTTCCTGGAAGGAGCCCAGCAGTAGCTGATGCATTTCTGACAGTCACTCACTTCTTTGGTTCTGGGTTATTTATGGCCTCACTTCTTGAGAATGCTCTTTAGCAGAGTGAGCGACTTCTGTGGAAAACAGCAGACTTGTCAGTGATTTGACTGTGCTGCCCTCCAGTGTTCACCTCCAGCCACTGCAGTCAGGAGAGGGTTGTCTGACAGAAAGCTGCACCACTCCCCGATTCTGAGGTTGACCTGGATGTGGACTTCATACACAATCCCACTTACCTCAAGGTTGGCGAGGTCACAGGTTAAGGGGAGTGCAGGGCCTTCTATCAGTGACTGATGCAGGTCATCATGGTGTCTGAGCAGAGAAAACGGGCAGCAGGTGAGAATCCAGTGCACAGGTGGGGAGATGTAGCAGGAGCCAGTGACAAGGAGGACATGGAATGGAAATAAACCTCTGCCCTTTCTCTGATTGTTCTCTGCACAGATGTGTCCCTGAGAAGCCTGGAGAATGGGGCGGGACCGGAGGACCACGCTCTGCAGGAGCCTGGAATTCGGTATAGGTCAGTGTTCAGAAACCACCTTGCTTTTGGTATTGAGATGTGCTGTTCACAGCCCTGCGTTCTGCTCTTTTCTAAAGCTGGGAGGGCAAGGCCTCACATCACGTTCACGTTCAGATTTTATTTTCACATCTCAGAGCGTGTGGTTCTAAGGGTTGGCTTCACCTTTCCCTCAGAGAGGCTGTGTGAGAGATGGCCTCAGTGAAATGTCATGTTACATTCCACTTGTCCTTTTTCACATGTTTTGGGCCACAACTGAGTACATCCTGTCGTTTTTTATTGAAATATTTGTTAATATTTATAATTAAACTTTTACCAGTCTTAGTGTTAAATAGTATCTAGGTCACTTAGATATTATGGAATATTTGGGAAGCATTTGGTCCATTGTCTGGCATATTGTCCATCTTTGTTTCAAACAAAGGACTCTGAGGGGAAATTGAATGGCCCAAAGTCAGTTTGTCACGTTTGGTCACTAAGGTTTTGATGCTATCATCATTCTTGTTGCTCTGTTTTTTTTTTTTTCTTTCTCTCTCTCCATGGTTTTAATTTGGTGTTCTAAGGCTATATCCATCTGCATTTTTGGCCTTACCTCTAGAATGGGGGTTCCTGTCTACCCCTTGTTTGGTGTGCTGGTCTCACCCAGATGGACAGGCTTCTGAAAATGGTACCACCTGGAAGAAGCTGTTCCACCCAGTCCAGTGTCAGAAAGGATGGTCACCTAAGTTATTTTTTGCTATCTATTTTAGAACATTTGAAAAATTTAACAATGAATGAATTACTTGTTTTGTTTTGTTTTTGTTTTTGCAGTACTAGGGATTGAACCCAGGGTCTTGGATATGCTAGGCAAGTGCTGTCCCACTTAAGCCATGCCCAAGCTCCAGCCCTTTTTTTCTCTTTGGTGGCACTGGGGTTTGAACTCAGGTCCTCATGATTGCTAAGCACTCACTCTTACCACTTGAGACACTCCACCACACTTTGTATTTTGTTTATAAGGTTAGGGTTTTGATAATTTCTCCCAGGGCTGGCATCAAACTTGCAATCCTCCTCCCTCCACTTCCTGAGTAGCTGAGAGTACAGCATGAACCACCATGCCCAGGGAAAAATACTGCTCTAAACTGCAAGTGGATGTACTGTTGATGTTTTGTTGCCAGTGTCTGTGTGTGCACAGAGGCATAGGATGGCCCCTCTGCACAAAGAACACAAGGGTTATTTTTTCATGTTGTTGATCCGCTGTACAATGAAGTTGTTTTTCACACCCGCAGTTACGTTCTATAGAGTTGTGAGGACCACCACACAGAGCTGAGGGGAAATGCTAGGTTAGGTGACTGGTAGCCTCTGGTCACCACAGTTTTGTCAGTACATGATCTGGTTTTATGGCTAGTCCCTATTTAATGTCACTGGTTAGCTCTCATTAATGTTGAATTTGTGGCCAAGGGAGCTAGAAGCTCATGCCTGAACAAAGCTTGCCTAACACGTATTTCCAGGCTTCTTGTACTAGGGACACTGACAGTAGTATGTTTGGGGACATTTTAAATTGCAAAATCACAACAAAACCCACAAGAATGTGAAAAACGTGGCAGTAAACAGGCCATGAAAAGCATGCTTGTTCAGTGCTGAGATGAGAAGGCAGCATAGCCTTGTTTGACCGAGCTGGGAATGTGCCCATTGGGTGACTCAGATTTTGTGCTCAAGAATGATTTCCAGCAGTGCTGTGAGTATTGGTTCAGTGAGTGGACCAATTCGTAAACATGGAACCTGCAAATAATGAGGATGAACCAATTCCAACAGTGCCTGCTAGTGTTTGGAACAGTGAGGTTGTGTGTTTTCAGAGGCTGAGTGTAACTTCCTTCTGCCTACTTTTCCAGTGTGGAAGCTGGTTCTCCAGGCCAAGGAAGTCCTCTGAGCAGCCTGCTCCCCTCTGCCTCGGTGCCAGAGTCCATGACAGTTAGTAAGTACTTCTTGCACCACCTCCACAATCTGGGGATGGCTGTGGGCCTGGGTGCCACAGCAGTGCCTTGGCACTTATTTCTGTGTGGCTGTGGATTTTCCAAACGCAGGATAAAGTCAGAGTATGTTAACCTGGTTGTGGACTTGACCGTGACTTGTGGTTGTGGGCTTCCAGAATCCTGGTTAGCTGTGGTGTTAGAGTGTGCACATCCTCCAAAGGATATGCATCAGGAGGAAAGGCACTGAGACAGAAGGGAAACTACCTTTTTTTTCACCCCCCCCACCCTGTACTAGGATTTGAATTTAGGCCTCATGCTTGCTAGGTGCTGTGCTCTACCACTTGAGCCATGCCCCTAGCACTTTTTTGCTTTAGTTTACTTTTCAGATAGGATCTCATGTTCTTGCCCAGGGCCAACCGTGGACTGTAGTCCTCCTGTTTAGCTTCCTGAGTAGTTGGGATGACAGGCATGTGCCACCACTTGCAGCATATTGGTTGTGATGGGGGCTCACTAAATTTTTTTCTCTGACTGGCCTCATACACCTTTATCCCTGGTCTTGGGTGCAAGCCACTGGTGCCTGACATTTTTTTTCTTTTGGAGACAGGGTCTTGCTATGCAGCCCAGGCTGTTGAATCTGAACTCATCCTACCTCAGTCTCCCAGTACTGGAATTATAGGTGGGAAAATTGAGGCTTAGTGAGGGTCAGGTCAGTACCTTGCCCACGGCCTCCCAACTGGTAACCCATTTGGAAGTATTACTTGGGTGCCTGCTCAGCACAGTCTTGTTTCCTAGATGTGGCATATTCTCTGACTGTACAGCCTGCATTCCCACCAATGGTCAGTTCCCTAGGGAGACATGTTCCATTGCCACTGGCCAGGGGGTCCAAGAGCCTCAAACTCATGATTTCTAATAAAACCATGAGCTCCTGGGTGAGGACACTGGGCTTCACCATGAGTGCACCTAGCTTGTTTGGTTATTTTCAGGGTCCTATGTCTGAGGATTAGTAGGGCTGGAGGAGAGAAATACATAATTTTCTTTTCTCAACATTCATAAGGTCTTAGCTGGGACAGATTCTTGTTAGCAAGAGACAGGTTAATGCAGAGAGAACTCAGCAGTTTTGTTATGCATGCATGTCCATCATGCAGGAAAAAGGCAGCTCTCAGTCATTCTCTCAAAGTGTGCCTGAGAGTCTGCCTTAACCAGCATTTTAACAGGGTGCCATCAATTTCAGGGGTTTGGCAAGACAGAGGAGCAAGCTTCAGGCTCCCAAAGGTGGGCCAGTATGGGAGGGTAGCAGTCTGGCTAGGAAGGGTGGAGGGGATAGGAAGACCTCTCATCTTTGTGCATCACTGTCCTGCTCTCTGTTCAACAGAGATGAAACTTGCTCTGTTCTCAGTGTCTTTAATTCAGGAGTCTTAAGTGTTTTATGATCACTTAGGGACAGTACTCTGAAAACTGGAAGGGCTGGCCTCCAGTCCATCCCAAACACTGTCTGCATGTTGCTCCCTTTCTGCCTCCTAGTTCACCCCCTTCCAGAAACCCCAAAGATGCTTTGAGAACCACCAAGCTATCCCTGATTGGGGTCGGCCCCTGGTGGATGGTCCAAGAAGTAACCTGTGTGCTTTTCTTCTCATCAGCACCTCCCCATCTCAGAACTGGCAACTCTTGCTATGCTATTCATTCTATGGGGTTCAGGGAATTTCCGCTTACTTAGGTTGTCATTTGTTTTTGTGGTGCTGGGAACCGAATCCAGGGTGTTGTATGTGCAAGGCAAATACTCTCCCACTGAACTACCTTTATTCACTTTTGAGACAGTGTCTCACTATGTAGCTTAGGCTGCTCTTGAACCTGCAGCCCTCCTGCCTCAGCCTCCCAACTACTGGGATTACTGGCCTGTGTCACCACACATGGCTCAGGTTGCCCCTTTTATATCTATGAATATAGATTTGAAATTCTTCAAATTCCCTTTTCCTTCCTTTCCCCACTTCTTCTAGCTCAAAAATCTGACCTTAATTTTAGTAGTTAAATAGAAAAATAGTTAATGTGATATTTTGGAACCGAAGTAAAAGAAAGTAATGTATTTTTAAAATGAAATTAAGCACAATAGGAAATCTCTGTTGTTAACCTGTGATGCCTTTAAAAATAGCGAGTAGGCCTTGTCAAACCATATTGGAATTGATGGGCAATAGCTCTTTGTCATGGTTTGCTGTATAATTCAACATTGTGTGAGCCTCAGATTTTCCAGTGACGAAAACTTCATTTTAAACTTTCCAATTTCATTTAATTTGGCATTCTTTTTTGAAGTACTGGGATTTGAATCCAGGGCTTTAAGTTTGCTAGGCAGATGCTCTACTGCTTGAGCTACTCCACCAGCTTTTTCACTTTGGTTATTTTTTGGATAGGGTGTCTCGTTTTTGCCTAGGGGCCAGCCTTGGACTGCAATCCTCCTGTCTCTCTCTTTTGGCTGTGATTACAGAATGGAGACACCATGCCCATCTTGCTTGTTGAGATGGGGTCTTGCTTGTTGAGATGGGGTCTTGCTAAAACTTTTTACTTGGGCTGGCCTTAAACTGTGTCCTTCTAATCTCTGCCTCCCGAGTATCTGGGATTACAGGTGGGAGCCATGCAGTCAGTCTAAGTTGGTAGTCTTTTAAGCTTAATTGTGGTAACAGTATTTGAACAGTTTTCAGTGAAATAGTCTTATAGGTTCTTATTTGGAGGTTCAAGATACTGCAGACGTGACAAGAGAGAGGCATTGTGAGCCGTGGTCAGGGTGGGACACTGACTCAGAGTGGCCATGTTGTCTTAGAGTAGCAGATGTCTTGCTCTTGGCTGGGGCACTTTTGGCTCTGTGAGTAGCTGGTTACTTAGGGCTGATGCCAAGTGTGGCTCGTGACTGCTGTGAGAGGGCTTGTGGTGTCAGGCCGTACTGACAGCGAACGGCCCTTAGTGCTGCCGAGGCGGTGACATGGTACTGGGTGCTTCTCTGATGGCTCCCACCAGGTTCAGGCATCACTGGCCTTTCGTAGAGATGGGAAAGCCACTCTGGTCACACAGCAAAGCCTCTGGAGTGGCGGCTCAAACTGCAGCTTTCTTCTCAACGTTTTCTTGGCAGACATGGCTGGGAGCCAACAGCCTTCCCTCTTATCAGCCAGCCTGGTCACCTGACTACCACTTGCTCTGCACTGCCTTTGCACTACCACTTGCTCTGACTGTGCTTTGGGCGGGGGGAGGGGAGCTGGCGTGTGCCACGAGGCCGTGATGCCTTTGGAGCTGTGTGCCTCACATCGCCCTGCCCTGCTCCGACTTGCCTACCCCTCTAGACCACACACCTGTGAAGGGTGGATGTCCTGGGTTGTAGGGCGTTAGCTCAGGCCTTCAGCGCACCTCATGGTGTCACAGCTGGGTCTCAACAGAAAGGTGGAGATAGGAGGAGGCCTGGGTATGGCTTGTCAGATCCCAAGGCACCTGCAGAAAGGCTGAACTGGCGGGGGGTTGGTGGGTGCTCATGTGTAACCAGAGGGAGGTACCGGCTTGTCAGCTATCCCTCTGCACTGCTCTGCAGAACACATTGAGGGTGTGAATATTGCCTTGTGTTGTGTGACAGACACAGACTTTGTTTTCAGTGTTCTCAGACTTATCAAGGACCTTACCTCGCCCTCAGCTCCTTCATTTACCAGGAAGGTAGGCTCCAAGCTTAAGAAGGTGGGTTGTGGTCACCCAGCGTGAAGGCAGTGGAAGGAGGACTGGATGCAGAATTTTGAGGAGACCCTCTCAAAGAGGAAGGAGCATCATCTTCCTTCTTTCTTCTGTCTCTTTCTTTTTGCTAGATCCTTTCCTCTATTCAGAAACTGTGCCCAGTGCTTACAGCATGGCGGACACTATGCTGCGCCTGGCATCGACGTCAAAAGAGGCCAGAGCCCTGCTCTCAGAACCTGTAGATAAACGCAGCAAAGCTAGGGACGTGAGAGCTTAACTTTGTATGTCTTAGCAAGAGCTAGAGCCCCAGCACGGGCCTCTGCTAGGGTGGGTTGTCAGGACAGAGCTCCAGGTGACAGGTTGCTGAGGCTGCAGGATGAGGCTACTTGGTTCCTTTTGGTGGCAGGTGGTGGTGGTAGAAGTGCATGGGGCAGGGATGAGAGGGAGAGGAGGTGTGGGGTGGGGATGTTGGAGAGATGATCTGTTCAGATTATGTTCCGCACGCAGAGGAAACCAGTGGAGGGTTTCAAGCAAAGAGCAGGCTTTAGGCTGAAAGCACACAGTGACATGTGCCTCAACCCTCCCTGTACCTTCTCGTGCCTGCCTTGCACGGCAAGTCCTCCAGGGCTGTTCTATGCCTCACAGGAGGTTGTCCGCAGCTGACTTAGACAGTCATACTCTTTCAAGCTGCTGACAGTTAACCATTCACTGCCCTAAGCACCCATCATTCAGAGTCTGCTCAGTGCTACTCAAGGAGGGCACCCCTGCAGGGGTGGCCTGGAGCCCGACCCCCAGCAGCCTTACTTCAGGCCCAGCTCCAGTACCTCATGACTAGGTATTTCTTTTTGCTTCCTGGAGACTTCATGGGCGTTGATTCTTACTTGTAGACTGGTGTTGGGCTGTTCAGAGGATTAAATGCACTAACGTGCAAAGGATTGAACTCCTGTGTCCAAGCATCATTGCCAGGGATCTGAGCCTTACCTGCTGTCTGGAAGCTGGAAGCTTTCACAGTCAGTGAGCATCTGCTGTTAGTTCTTCCCAGTCAGCCACTGCCCAGGAAGGCTGAGGCCCAGGCTGAGGACAGTCAGAAAGACATTCACTGGGTGTGAATGCCCAGTGCCAGCTCGCCTGGTAAATGTCAGATGGTGGCACTGCTCTTTTTGAAATCGCTTCTGGATACTCTCTTTGGGAATATTTTGGTTCTTTTTATTTTGAGACAAGGTCTCATGTAGCCCAGACTGGCCTCCAATGTGCAATTCTCCTGCCTCTGCCTCTCAGTGCTGGGATTACAGGTATTAGCCAC